GAGCCAGTCCCTGGGTCACCATTCTGAGTGAGGGCAGCAGAGGGCAGGCCAGTGGAAGGTCTGGCTTCCAGACAAGGTTCCTGTCTCTCTGAGCCCAGGACCACTGTCGGTACCTATAGATTCTCCTGCTCTTCCTCCCTAAGACCCACAGCTGGTGGGACAAGAAACATCACCTCTCTCCTGCTTGTTCTTCCCCTTTAAGCTTCCCAACTTTCCCACCTTGCACCTCATGGGAGTTTCTTTAAAATATCACCATAAATCTACCTTCAGAAGGTTCTCCAATCCCTATGCTAACAACACAACGTGGAACATCAGAAAGGTCTTTATTCCTAAACAGGTTTCCATATTAATACAGAATCAGGGTCCAGCAGATGGTGTAATGGTTATGGCACTGGAGTCCCATGTAGTTGACCGTGGTCGAGTCCTGGACCCGGTGGCTTAAAGCTCATGCTGGGTACATGTGTGTGTTTGTGTGTGTGCCCAAAACCTGAGAGGAAAATGGAGGAGAAGGGATTGCAGCAGGACAATATCTCCTGAGGGGTGATTTCTTGCTTTCTGTCTCTCTGGCGAGTGTAAGCGCCCTCTAGCAAAGATCTCTCAAAAAAAAAAAAAAACAACTTGAGTTTTCAAGTTTTGTCCATGATGTACCCCTTCCCTGGAAAGACCAGAGAGCACTGACGGTGGAGTCTGGTCTCGCGTGCTCTCACTGACGCACTGGACCACACTGTTCTGGGACAGGGTGCCGGGCTCTCTGCTCGAGCCGCTGATGAATAAGCATAACAGCATTCAGGGGGCTCTGGGCCTTCGTTCTAGCGGCCAGTGGTCTCTGCAGCCAGCACCCCCCTCCCCAGATGAGGCATGCCACCTGGCAGCAACATCCCATCCTGCATTAACTCTCCAAGGGCTGAGAGAAACGCTACTGCAGACCTCAGGTTAAAGACCTGGCCTCCTGGCTGGCCTTCTGGGGATGAAGGCGCATCACACATCAGAGCACACACCACCTGTGCCAGGTGCCACCACGCCAGCAATAACCATCTCTTCATCTGGAACTGGGTGACAGTCTCACGGCAATTCAATCCCGCAAGTCTCACACAAGCAGCGGACAGTCTACCAAGTTACCTGGCATTTCTCCGTCAGAGACGTTGAAAAGGGACGTTGCACAGAGAAGCTAGAGTTCTTCTTCTGACCAAATCTATTCCTAAAGAATGGAAAGAATCACAGCAGATGAAATGCTTGCTCCTGCGATGCAGAGATCAAAATACTCTTTCAACGAATAAACTCTTCCTAGAAAACCTGCCTCTGGTTTATTCCCATAGCCATGCTGTTTCTGCCTGTCTTTCCACTGTGCCCTCCTGGTATGTGTCTGCGCCTTAGAGGAAGACACTTGATACCTGTGGCAACATGTGACGCAGCCACCCCACATCCGAGGTGGGAACCCCAAAAGCTCACCCTGCACAGCAGTGATGGCGCACTGCGGTACACGGCTGACTCCCTCGTGGAAGGCTAGCCGCCCCCTGTACCTACTATCTCTACACCACCACCTATCATGCAGAAGTAGCCATTTCTTCCCGGGGATGGTCAGCTTGGAAAGCAGGGGATGAAGCGAGGAAGGTGAAGTTATCATCGTATCTCCCCAACGCTGACTGGCGGTTCCTGCCTGTGGGATCTTCTCTTATTCCCTCCTGCTCTCAGATCTTCCGATAACAAGAGCAGAAGTGTGCACCCCACCTGGCTTCACTTCCAGCCAAGTGTGCCCCACCATGCCAGCACACAGCAGTGGTCGCTTACTTTATTCCCACTGGAGCACCAGCGACACCCCTGTGGCCAGTCCAGGTGGGGACACCAGACGCTGCTCCCAGGCACCGCTGACGAGAGAGCCTCAGGGCTTTCAGGGCGTCCTGAGCCACGCGGTTCGCTTCCGCCTCCACCAGCACATAATCCGGGCTGGCCCCATCCATGATGGCGTCGTGCTTCATGACACTGTGCACGCCAACTACGGGCACGAAGGGGACAGCAAGACGGAAGGTCAGTGTGTGCACGGGACTGCTCCGCTCCACTGTCCCGGAGAACACACAGGTGGACAAAAATGAGCACCATTTCGAGCTATCGACCACGCGGCTCTTATGCCCCAGGAACTTCACAAATGCTGTGTCGAGTCACACTCGCCACTACCCTATGAGGTAGAGAGCATTAATTACCCGTCTTATTATAACTGAAGCATAAGGTTTTAATCACAACTCTAACAATTAACCCCTTCCCTGCTACCTGCAAAGAAAGCAAAAACCTAACTCTTTAGTGAAGGGAAAACATAAACCAGAATTACAGAATGTCTTTTGTAAAAATAATCACGAAGGGGCCAGCCAGCAGTGTGGTGGTTAAGGTAGCTGGATCCCACATGGACAAGTTCATGAGTTGAGTCCCAGACCCAGCAGTGAAAAACACACTGGGCAGGAGTGTGCCCCAAATCTTGAAAGAATAAAGAAGACGGGACTGTGGCATGGCCATCCTACTGGGGGGGGG